TGTGTCTTAGTGGCTGCTGAGGGGAGGGTGTTTATGGTCACCCAGCAGCAAAAAAAACCAATAGCTGAACAAAGGGCGGATGAGCTCCTCGGAGTCAACGGCCAACCATTAACTAGTTTAAGGAATAGGAGTAGTTTAGTCTCATTGTTATTATGCTTATTATTTTTTTTATTTTATTTTATTGTTATTTGAATTTTCTCTGTAGCCCTATTATTTCTTTGTAAAGCACATAGGGGCAATGTGCAATATGCGCTATATAAATATAACATTATTATTATTATTATTATTATTATTATTATTATTATTATTATTATTATTTTATTTATAATTTTATTTCATTATTATATTATTATATAAATTTAATGAAACTCAGAGATACGGTTTTGGAAGGGAGAATACCGAAATTGTTCAATGTCGACATACCGGTATCAACAGAAGTCTGGGTTGGTTGTTTTTTTCAGAATATCTTTCATATAAAAAAACTGCCGTGGTGCGGCAGGGTACTGATTTAAGAGTAACAGACGGACTTGATCACACTCCATCAGATCAATGTTTTCCTCCAGGTAAGAGCTTTACTTCTTACTTCTTCTTACTACTTATAATAATCATAGTTGTCTCGTTTGAATGTGACCTCAAATTAAATTTCAATTTGTTGTATTTCCATGTATCCTGTCCAAACTGACAAGCCACCGCTTGTTTTGATGATGTAACAAATAGTGTAATTTGTGAAATTTGTGAATAGGCCTAATAATAATAATGCAATGCTTTCGTCACTTTTGTTTATCTACAGTATGTCATTTATATTGGTGTACGGTAAGAATGTCCCCGGTAAAAATGGCCCAGGAAAAAAAGGCCCTGGTAAAATTGGCCCCGGTAAAAATGGTCCCAAATGACTGGTACTGATAGGTAAAAATGGCCTCAATAATAAAATTATGTATTAAAACTGATTTTTTTAAATCATTATATACATTTTTAACTGAAATAATTTAGTTTTTAAAAGGAATCTAACTTCAAATGAATTGCCATTTATTTTACTTTTTGCAGGAATTACATATTCAAAGATAAAATATTCAAAGATAAAAAAAGCCATGAATAACACCTTTTTTTCGTTTAAATGTTAAAAAATAACAACAAATAAAAATAATAACCTAAATCATGCATTTATTGATACTAAAATAATTCATTTGTGGCCAATTTCACAGAAGCGGAATCACGATTTTCCAGAAATTCAATCCGGGTATTGGTAAACCCCATAAGCAATGGGTTGATATGAACATCAAATTATTATTTTTCTTTCTTTTTTTTTTTTTTAAGAAAAAGAGAGTTCTACAGTGTTATGATGGGGTTCGCAGTGTGTTTGGAGGTTTGTGGTGTATTTGCAAGTATTTTTTCACCAAAAAAAAAATCAACATTTTAACAAAAAAAAAGGTTCTTATGAATGTATTTAATTTTCTTATTGATATACCAAGTGAGTCAATCACAATTGGATTGTTTGGTTTTCTACAGTGTGTTTTGGGAGGTTTGTGGTATTTAGCAATACCATTTCATCCTACCATAATTACCCTATACCCTCACAATTACACACCATTTTAATTCTTAGCATAATTGCCATATTTACATAACTATGTATATATAGTATGTCTCAGTTTACATTATTTAGTATAGTTTCGAAAATAATAAATTGAAAAAAAAAGATTATGGCCACTGGTTTCTGAGCCAGTAGTAGGCACTTTGATTTAGTTGGAGGGGAGTATTATTCAGTTTACTAAAAACAATATTTGATTAACAAATACTTCTTTGATGTAACTCTAAGCAGAACATTCATTGCTAAGTTTGTGAGAAAGTAAGCCTCTCCGTTTTCCTATACATGAACTTGTGATTCAAACAATATTGATCCAATGCTTTAATTACTGCTTATTTGCATTGTTAAAAACTAAGTTATTTTATTTTTCAAATATGCATATGGTTTATGTTGATTTATTAATTCAATTTTTGCTACAGGGTATTTTACAGCATTTAAAATCGATTTTTTTTTAACGAAGTGTCTATGCTTACGCCGAGTCGTAAGCATTAGTCATAGGCTATGCTTACGCCGATCTATTGAGCATGCACAGGGCTGGCGTAAGCATTATATAGTGGCTATGCTTACGCCGGATTGCTAGTCAACGTAAATAGTCAACTCGTTGATCTGCTTACTATTTCACGTTGTCGAGGCATGAGCTTTGTCTAGTCCACAGTTTTCCAAATAGATAGGCCTATCTAGCCCAATTTATGTTGATATATTGATACAATACTATATCTGAAATAATAATGACAATGTATCTATGTATGATGTGTAGAATGTTGGAGATGACCTGCCTGCTGCATTGATATTCTGATTTTAAATCATTGTCCTGTACACTACAGTACATAATTAAAAAGCGAAATCAAAAACAAGAATTTCCTTGTCTCGCTCTTATCTCGATCCCTCACCCCGACCTTTCCAACATCTCTTGATCCGTGTCCCTATAAAATTCTTAATTTTCCTATTATGAACAAGTACGCATACAATAATTACAAGAGAGCGTGACACAGTTTCAATCCAAT